CTCAGGACCTTCTTGCTGTGCGGCAACAGTGCTAACCACCGTGCTGCTCTGGTTCAACAAAGATTCATTTAGAAGTTCAAGGGAAACAGGATTTCTTTCCTGACCACTTTGCTGCTGAACTGTTTGTCTTAGTCACTCAGTTTGGTCACACTCGAACAGAAAATTAAATCCTTGGACGCATTAGTACGTTCCAAAGTCTTCATGTTTCCTGTTGAACATCAGTAATAAACACAGGTTCTTACATTTATTATTTTTCTTTCTCACTTTACTTTTTGGATGTAAACTATTTTTTTGTTGTTGTGTGAGCATTAATGTAGAAATGATCCCACACCAAAACGGGAAGACTCTGAGAAGATCAGCTCGCAGACTGTGCTCCACTATTAACAAAAGAGCAAAGATGAGTTTTCTTTACGTAAAACAAATAGTAAAGGAAAACACCAACAATAAAACTACCAGCCTATAAATATTTGATAATCCTGCTGGGATTGTCACGTAAATCAGTTTTTACATTTGAATCTGGCAGAGAGCATCTATTGTTTTATTTACAGTGAAAAGAATATTAATAAAAATATTTATACAAGAAATAAAAATAAATAATAAATAAAATGATGAAGCTAAATGAAGTCTTTGTATTTACTGCGTTACAGTCAGTGCTTCTTCTTCTTCACTTTCATATTTTAAAAAGTGAGATAATGCTTCAGACTGATACAACAGCTACATGCTAACTGTTATTCCTATTCAAATATCGTATTAAAATTATTATTACATACTGACTGCACATTACTGTAACATTAACACTTTGAGATAAAACACTAAATGTATTTAAACAGGTTAAAATAAACACCTGATTTATTCTATTTAAATATAGACTGTGATATAAAATCATCTTTAAATGTTTTGAGCGGCCGGCCCGGGTTCAGGTCCGACCCACGGCCGTTTGCCACATGTCTTTCCCTTTTCTGTCAGTCTTCTGTGTAACTAATAAAATGTATTTAAAAAATGTTCTCAGTGACTAAAAGTCTGAGTGACATGACTCTGCTCTCTGTGGGAAACAGTCAATGTCACTTCCTGTTGGAGCAAAGTCAACAGGACCTTATTTTCCTGTTCACACGTAAAAACAGGAACGCATGAAGAAAGAAAGTCATTTATGTTAAAAACGTCAACTGACTCAGTAAAGTGTGATTCACAATCAAAATATGATTTAATCAATGATTTATGGAAACGAGAAAAATGTTATTTTAGAGAAGACAAACTGAATCAGTCCAACATTTTCATAGATCCTGATCACTGTGCAAACTTTGTGTCATGGTCCTGGGCCATGTTGGCCCAGTACTCTTAGTTTTGTGTGTTTTCTATTTTGTTCTTTATTTATGCCGTGGTTCCTCGGTTGTTCAGTTAAGATGTTCCTTATTTGGTTACCTCCTGTGTATCTGTGAGCCCAGATACACAGAGGGTTTTACTCCATGTTTTCCCCAGCCCGTTATGTCTGTGCTCTCTCCTCCTGTCTGCACCTCTGTGTACTTCCTGTTTTACTTTGACAGTCTCTCGTCAGTATGCGTCATGTTGTGTTCACTGCTGCCCTGTCTCATTACGATTATCTGTGTCAGCTGTTCCCCGTGTGCTCCCACTTCCCTCGTTAACCCTCTGTGTATTCATGTGCATGTCTCCCTCAGTTCAGTGTCGCGTCGTCAGTGTCTCCCGAGTTCAGTTCCTGTCTCCGTGAGTTTTGTGTTTGGGGCCTCATCTGCCTTCACATAACTTTATTGAGTAGAAACAGATTATTTTGTTTCATTTCCCTTCAAAATGGTCAGACTGGTTCAGTGTGAAGTTCACTGAGGCCACCTACTGGAAATGACACTACGAATGTGAACGTACCAATACCAGCTCAGCTCTGACATCCTGTTTACTTTGAGTGGAACAAAACTTTTTTATATGCAGTCAGTTTCTCTGTTTCCAGTCTGTAGATCCAGTCACACTTTCTACCTTCACCTGTGCAGTAAAGACTGAGAGCAGAGCTGAAAGCAAGCGTCCAATCAGTGAGCAGCAACCATCCTGTGATGAAAGCTTTATTTCACTGATGTTTCTTCAAAGCTCGTTTCAACCTGTTGAAGTCATGAATGAAAGTGCAGACTGAGAGTGGATCACATGATGTTTGAGGTGTGTCATGTGACATGTTCAGTATTGTCACACATGTCTAGATTGTCCCTGATATCATAACTGCTCAAACACTGATGATTATATTTGAAGAATTATTCCTGATGGCAGCAAAGTTTGAATGGAGCTCTCTGTCTGTGCTGATTTGTCGCCCTCTGGAGGTCAAAGCACAAACTGCATGATGTCACTGTAACCACCACAGAGACAGGAAGTGTTTTTATGACTGAAACACTGATTACTGGGGAAATGTGATCAAATATCTATTTGATTCTGGCTGCTGCATTTTTTAAACAGCTGGAAAAAAACTCATGCAGAGAAAGATTATTTTTATAACCCATCAGATAATCTTGTGTCTTAATGATAAAATTGATCAGCCTGATAATTCACACGTTTGCTATTTTTACCAGCTTTTCTTCCTGCCTTCAAATAAACTTTATTAGCACAGCAGCCTTTTCCCAGCCAAGCATTTAAAGCTCACACACATCCATTCAGAGCTTCTAACACTAAATACTGCACACAGATTTCCTCTTACACCATCACTCACCTTGATTCTGGATCATGTGTGAACATCTTCATATGTTTCTAATGTTACATTGGATTTTTTGGAAAATCAGCTGCTGATTTTTTCAGATTAACTGACACATTTTTGACAAAGACTTTGATGCAGGTTTACCTGGTAATGATACAACAGCCTCTCTTCGTTTCATGGATGAGAAAGAGGAACATCAACCAGACACAACAAGGTAACACACGTTGCCTAACGTAGATATTAACAAGAACTCTTAGAGAAAAATGTTTTGAGTTTCTTTGGACGTCTCTACGTGAGCCTGAAATGACTGTTTACACCTCGTCAGGAACAACACTGATGAAGTGAGTGAGGTAATCTCTTCCCTGACCACCTCTGACTCGAGACTGACTTTAATTTGACTTCTTATGGAATGACATTAATGTCAACAGCTCCATTGGAGAAAAAAACAAAAGTCCATTAAATTACATACTAAACTAGACTCAATTAAAACAAATGACATACTTTTAATCACATATCACTTTGGAAACATTGAAAAATAAATTTTTTAATTTTATTTTCTGACAATATTTACTTTTACTCCCTACATTTTTAAACAAATATCTGCACCTTACATCTTCAAAGAACGGCCGTTGCTTTAACATTAATTTGAGGTGAGTCGATGTTATTGATGGTCCTACTGTGAGGAGTCTAAATGTTGGACATGTTTTACAGGATAAAGGAACTCCTCACTCAGTGACTTCCTTTCAGATGCAGATGAGAGACCAGGAAACACCATCAAGCAGATCATTTAAATCAGACAGCAAAGGGACATCAAAGACTTCATGTTGCTAACAGCTCACCTCTCTGCAGCAGACACAGGCCGGACTTTAAAATTAATGGGACGATCTTCAGACTGGTCACTCTTACAGGACACACAGCTGGGTCCAGGTGCATGTTTGTGTTTAGTTCCTCTGATTAAAATAGTTAAAAACAGACAATTCTGTCACAAAATGCATCTTAAAACCAGATAAACTGACAGTTACAGCTGAGCCTGTGCGCCCTTAGAGACACTGCTCTCCTACAGAGATGCTTTTTAAAAACCAGGAAACATCAAAATCATTTAAATCAAAGACTTCATGTTGCTAACAGCTCACCTCTCTGCAGCAGAGACTTTAAAATGAATGGGACGATCTGCAGACCAGTCACTCTTACAGGACACAGAGCTGGGTGGAGGTCCAGGCTGGTTCCTGTGAATAATGATGGAGCAGTGATGTGAGTGCTGAGCTGTGACATGGAGAAGAGTCATGGACAGTTAGAGATGGTC